GACTTTTTTAATAAAGGTTTTTGCAATATCATCCTGTGTAATAGGATAAGCATATTGACCATGTGTTTTGATTTGTTCAGAGTTAGTTGGAAGTAGTGGTTTAACCACAAAATAGTCACTAGAAAGAAGTTCAAATCTGTAGTATTGTTTAAGTTGATAGATGACTTCTGATAAAGGTACATATGCAAGTGTAGAGTCATAGGAAAAATATTCTCTGACACTTGGGTTTAATTTCTGATATGTTGTGGGTAGCAGTTGCTTGGGAGGAAGTAACTGGAAATAAGATGTTGGGATAGAATCACAATTATAGTAGTCTGCTAACTTTCATCTATAGAATGACAGGTATTGAAGAGCTTGCCGGTTTGTTATAGGGAAGTATTGATGCAATTGAGGTAGTAAATTATTGATATTTTCAGGTAAAGCAGGTAATGCTTGAAAGTAGGTATCAGGTAATTTGTCAAACTTAAAAAGTTTTCTTAGACAATTAACAATTGCTGTTATATATGATCGTTGCTTAATTGGAATTGTAAAGGGAAACTCTTTTGTAACATAACCTGGTATATGATCAGGGCTTGTGGAGAGTAGAAGTAATTTTCTTGAAATGCTTTTAGTACAGTATTCTTGATTTCCTTTGGAGTGTTATTATTTTCATTTGGAATTTGGAGAAATCCTCTTGTATAATAAATTAGTTTAAATACAGTGAATTGGCTGATTGTGATAAAGTTTGTATTGATGAGATATTGTGTGATAAGCATCCTTTTGAGCATGGTATGAATAGTTCTATGTGTCTCCTGATTTATAATGGTAAGCTAGTTGTTGGCTTTGTAGTTGGCAAGTGCTGCATTATATAAGTTTGTATATTCTTTCTGATATGCAGGCATAGTTTTAGGATTTCTAGAAAATGTAGTAAAGAATCTTGTGTCTAGATATTTAAACTTTAGATAAATTGCTGGAGGTATTTCAAATTGAGTAGGAGTAGAGCCAATTTTATGCTGCACCAATTGGTGTATACTATCGAGGGTTTGAAGTGAAGTAGCTATAGTATCATATGTCCAGTTATTTAAGTCAAAAGGTTGTTTTGTACCTTGTACAATTTTGTTTGCAATCAGCTGTACCCATGCAGTATCATCAGGTACCTCAAAGGTAGGTAGATCAAGGTTTTTGCGTATGGCTTGGCTGTAGGATAGTTTGGTTGTTTCAGTAAAATCTATAGTTGTAGCTATATATGTAGATAATGGTTTCGGTATAATTTCCTGAAAGTTATTTACCCGAAAGGCCACTTACCTGACATCACAAGGGTGACAAATTGCTAAAAATATATACCTACAGCTAATAAAATGTTAACCCTAACCCTATGTGATGTTGGATATGTGGCCTGTCAGGTAAATAGCTTTCAGAAAATTAAGCAACAACCATAGATAATACAGTTGATGGTGATTGTGGTGCCTGCATGTTTGTATTGGTGGTGTTAATTGTTGTAAGTTTAGGCTATTTTTTGTTACTACAGATCTCGTTAGATTGGGCAGATGTACGAGTATTTTGGTAGGTAGCATTATGCCCAAGAATATTAACTTGGGCTACTGACTGCTTGTTTGTTTTGTGTAAACTAGAAGATGTAGTTGATGTACTGCCAGTTGTATAACCTTTAAATGACTGAGTACTAGTCTTGCCTTTGTTGTTCGATGCTGTCTTTGTAGTACTTGCAGAATTGTTTTGGTTAGTGTTCTCGTCTGTATCGATATCTGGAATCAGATTGTATAGAATACATGCTATGTCTTTAGGGTATTTTGGTGCAAGGTATAACTTTTGTGTTTGCTCATATATCTTAATTGTTACTTTCATGTCACAGTTACAAGTAGCTCTAGGCAGTTTTGCATTGATATTTACAGAACTGCGTTTGGTACTTGTAAGGTCAAATAGGATTGATTTGGTTGTGTCACAGTATTTGCATATCCATTGTGTAGGAAATTTAACCATATTTGGTATATTTCTGAACCGAGAGAATTCTGCAGTAAAGAGAAATTTGTTCGCAAATTCTGGGATATGAAAGGTAATAATGAATGTGAGTTTGGACC